ATTGTCAGGTCATTCATCCCTACTAATCACCCTACAGCTACGTACATTGTCAGGTCATTCATCCCTACTGATCACCCTACAGATACATACATTGTCAGGTCATTCATCCCTACTGATCCTCCTTCAGATACGTACATTGTCAGGTCATTCATCCTACTGATCCTCCTACAGATACATACATTGTCAGGCCATTCATCCCTACTGATCACCCTACAGATACATACATTGTCAGGTCATTCATCCCTACTGATCCTCCTACAGATACATACATTGTCAGGTCATTCATCCCTACTGATCCTCCTACAGATACATACATTGTCAGGTCATTCATCCCCTACTGATCACCCTACAGATACATACATTGTCAGGTCATTCATCCCTACTGATCCTCCTACAGATACATACATTGTCAGGTCATTCATCCCTACTGATCCTCCTACAGATACATACATTTTGTGCTAAAAGAAAATAAACAGTCTCTTCCCCATTGTCCCATTCTTCTAATTTCTTTCCAGCTCTGTGTAGGAAGCCGGAGGAGACAATACTGAAGATGGATCCAGAGAAGACATTTTATGATATTGGGGATACAGTGACAGTAAATTGTTCGATTGGATATCACCCTTCCTACCCCTCTGTACGATGTGTGAAGATTGGAACCTCCATTAGGTGGGATAATCGTCCACTATGTAAAGGTGAGTAGTAAACCTCAATATACAGACTACAGGAACCCAGACCAACCAATCAGCAGCCACCTCTCTTTGGTGTGACTCATCTAAACTGATGTAACATAAAACCTGATTGGTGCATTGCCCTCTACACCTCATTCCTGTCTGTACGGCCTTATTACATACATAGCCCTGTATATTAGATACACTTTGTATAGTGAACATGGGAATACTGGATGCTGTCCAACTCAATCTCCATCTATCATTGTAATCAGAACCGATATCAGCGAACCCCATGGGGGGGGGCGATGTGATTATACATCACACTTAATGCTGATATCATCTACAATCTTCCCATGGAGACTTCCCTGACTTCTCTTCAAAGTGTCAATAACTGCTTGATGGAAAAAAATATGTTGCTACTAAAACCAACAGAAAAAAATGTTTTTTTAAATTTAATTGAACACAATGAATAAAATGAAATGAATCAGATTGGGGCGCTTCTGCTGTATGTAAGCCAAGATAATTGTACAAGAAAATAATCAGTTCCTCTGTGCATGCTGTCGCTGAGACTGTCCCTGAAAATCGGACTGTTCTGTAACACCGTGTGCAGCTTTAAGGCGTCCCCCAAACCTGTAGTCTAAAGGATTTGTGTATATTCAATGTTGTCCTCTCAAAGCCACATGTGAAGGACCCCGGCCCTACTAGACGTGTTACAGATACTTACATTGTCATGTCATTCATCCCATCCCTACTGATCATCTTACAGATACATATAGTGAAGGAAATGCGTATTTGCTCCCCTTCTTCCCAAAGAAATGATCGGTCTAACAATGGAATGTTCGGTGTATTGTAACACTGAGAGACAGAATAGCAACAACAAATTCAGCAGAAATGCATCTAACAAATGATGACTGATCTGCATGTTCATGAGGGAAATAAGTATTTGATCCCCTCTGATGCTGAATGTTCACCCCTCACACAGAAATGATCGGTCTAACAATGGAATGTTCGCCCCTCACACAGAAATGATCGGTCTAACAATGGAATGTTCGGTGTAACACTGAGAGACAGAATACAACAACAAATTCAGCAGAAATGCGTCTAACAAATGATGACGGATCTGCATGTTCATGAGGGAAAGAAGTATTTGATCCCCTTCACAAAACATGACTTAGTACTTGGTGGCAAATCCCTTGTTGGCAATCACAGAGGTCAGACGTTTCCTGGAGTTGGCCCCCAGGTTTGAACACATCTCAGGAGGGAGTTTGGCCCACTCCTCTTGGCAGATCCTCTCCAAGTCATTAAGGTTTGGTGGCTGACATTTTGCAACTCGAACTTTCAGCTCCTCCACAGATTTTCCATCGGATGAAGGTCTGGAGACTGGCTAGGCCACTCCAGGACCTCAATGTGCTTCTTCTTGAGCCGCTCCTTTGTTGCCTTGGCCGTGTGTTTTGGGTCATTGTCATGCTGGTACACCCATCCACAACCCATTTTTAATGCCCTAGCTGAGGGAAGAAGGTTCTCACCCAAGATTTAAGGTACATTGCCCCGTCCATCGTCCCTTTGATGTGGTGCAGTTGTCCTGTCTCCTTAGCAGAAAACACCCCCAAAGCAGAATGTTTCCACCACCATGTGTCACAGTTGGGATGGTGTTCTTGGGGTCATAGGCAGCATTCCTCCTCCTCCAAACACGGTCAGTTGAGTTGATACCAAAGAGCTGGATTTTGGTCTCATCTGACCACAACACTTCCCACCAGTCCTCCTCTGCATCATTCAGATGTTCAGTGGCAGACTTCAGACCGGCCTGGACATGTGCTTTCTTGAGCAGAGGGACCTTGCGGGCACTGCAGGATTTCAGTCCTTGTCGGCGTTGTGTGTTACCAATTGTTTTCTTGGTGACTGTGGTCCCAGCTGCCTGGAGATCATTGACAAGATCCTCACGTGTAGTTCTGGGATGATTCCTCACTGTTCTCATGATCATTGACACTCCACGAGGTGAGATCTTGCATGGTGCACCAGACCTAGGGAGACTGACACTTGTTTTGTGTTTCTTCCATTTGTGAATGATTGCACCAACTGTTGTCACCTTCTCACCAAGCTGCTTGGCCATAGTTTGGTAGCCCAGTCCAGCCTTGTGTAGGACTACAATCTTGTCCCTGACATCCTTGGACACAGCTCTTTGGTCTTTGCCATGGTGGAGAGTTTGGAATCTGATGGTTTGATTGCTCCTGTGGACAGGTGTCTTTTATCCAGGTAACATAATGAGATTAGCAGCACTCCCTTTAAGAGACTGCTTCTAATCTCAGCTTGTTACCTGTATGAAAGACACCTGGGAGCCAGAAATCCTGCTGAATGATAGGGGATCAAATCCTTCTTTCCCTCATGAACATGCAAATCAGTGCATAATTTATTAGACATGCATTTCTTTTGATTTTTTTTGTTGCTATTTTGTCTCTCAGTGTTACAATACACCGAACATTCAATTTTAGACCGATCATTTCTTTGTGAGGGGCAAACATTCAAAATCAGCTGGGGAGCAAATACGCATTTCCTTCACTGTACATTGTCAGGTCATTCATCCCTACTGATCCTCCTACAGATACATACATTTTGAGCTAAAAGAAAATAAACAGTCTTTTCCCCATTGTCCCATTCTTCTAATCTCTTTACAGATCTGTGTAGGAAGCCGGATTGGACAATGGCGAAAATGGTTCCAGAGAAGAGATTCTATGATATTGGAGAAACAGTGACGGTAAATTGTTCGGATGGATATCACCCTTCCTACCCCTCCCTACAATGTGTGAAGAGTGGAACCTCCATTAGGTGGGATAATCCTCCACAATGTGAAGGTGAGTAGTAAACCTCAATATACAGACTACAGGAACCCAGACCAACCAATCAGCAGCCACCTCTCTTTGGTGTGACTCATCTAAACTGATGTAACATAAAACCTGATTGGTGCATTGCCCTCTACACCTCATTCCTGTCTGTACGGCCTTATTACATACATAGCCCTGTATATTAGATACACTTTGTATAGTGAACATGGGAATACTGGATGCTGTCCAACTCAATCTCCATCTATCATTGTAATCAGAACCGATATCAGCGAACCCCATGGGGGGGGGTGATGTGATTATACATCACACTTAATGCTGATATCATCTACAATCTTCCATGGAGACTTCCCTGACTTCTCTTCAAAGTGTCAATAACTGCTTGATGGAAAAATACACGTTGCTGCTAAAACCACCGAAAAAAGCTTATCTACATTGAATTGAATACAATGAATAAAATGAAATGAATCAGATTGGGGCGCTTCTGCTGTATGTAAGCCAAGATAATTGTACAAGAAAATAATCAGTTCCTCTGTGCATGCTGTCGCTGAGACTGTCCCTGAAAATCGGACTGTTCTGTGACACCATGGTATACACAGCTAGAAGGATCCAGTGGAAATTACAGAAGTGCGCACTCATCGACCGCGCATAGGAAATGCGCATTTGTGTGTTTAAATCACATTTATCGAACTCCCTCAGGACGGGGTGTCATCAGGCGGTGATCTGCTAGGCTCACAGGACCTCCTTAGGATCAGGATTAAACCGGCCAGTAAAAGTAAAATGGCCACCAGACCTCCTCGTGGTCTGGGCGGTGATGAGGCGTCACAAGCTGTCAGTTCCTCCTGAGGCCTTTTGTGCTAAGGCACATCTTCAGAGGGGAGGCTGACAGCTTTGTGACAGATGCCAGATTGTTAAATAACAAAAAACGGGAGTCGCCCGTCCACGAGGAGGTCTGGCGGCCATTTTACTTTAGGTCAGTATCAGAGTCTTTTACCTTGCACTTTCTGGCTTTTTGCCAGTTTCAACACTGACCTGTCCTGTACTAAATTTGTTACTAATAAAAGTTTTGACACATACTACACTATGGGCATTTTCCCATTTTTTACCCCTCATTGAGGGATTATCAGACTAGCAGACACAGCTACACCTGGAGGAGGGAGCCCTCACCTGGCCACTTTAATCCTGATCCTAAGGAGGTCCTGTGAGCCTAGCAGATCACCGCCTTATGACACCCCGTCCTGAGGGAGTTCGATACCTGTGATTTAAACACACAAATGCGCATTTCCTATGCGCAGTCGGTGAGTGCGCATTTCTGTCATTTCCACTGGATCCTTCTAGCTGTGTATACCATTGTATTGATTGAAATATCTCACAAACTTTTGACAACGAATTTTTAAGAACAAACTTTTTGATATGCTTTAGCGCTGCACTTTATTTATCTATTCAGTCAGAGGAGGTTGTGATCCCCTCTTGTGCCACTAGCTGTTTATTCTCTCATTGACATTTTCTCTCATTTAACGATCTGCGCTCACTTTATTTTATATATTTTATGTTCTGTGACACCGTATACCCGGTGATGGAGGCCAATGGAGAGAGGGCTTCCCTTGCGGCTAAGTTCCGGACTCCCCTGAGAGTGGGACAGCGGGAGTCAGGCCCAAAGTTGCACAGGGCACCTGTAGGAGTGCTGGATGGTGGTCCACTCAGAAGCACAGCTGGTGCACGGAGATAGGTCTGCAGACAGGAGGCGCCTGTGCGTGGTATGTAAGCCCTTCTGGGATTTAGATGTTTACTGGGTAGTCGGTTCAAGCCAAGGTCAGGTACCAGGTGGGAGTCAGAGCGGACGTAGTCAGATGGGAAAGCCGAGGTCATTCACAGAGGAGCGAGAGAGAGAGTATCCGTAAGCCAAGCCGAGGTCAGGTACCAGGTGGGAATCAGAGCGGACGTAGTCAGATGGGATAGCCGAGGTCATTCACAGAGGAGAGAGAGAGTATCCGTAAGCCAAGCCGAGGTCAGGTACCAGGTGGGAATCAGAGCAGACGTAGTCAGATGGGATAGCCGAGGTCATTCACAGAGGAGGAGAGAGAGAGAGTATCCGTAAACCAAGCCGAGGTCAGGTACCAGGTGGGAATCAGAGCGGACATAGTCAGATGGGAAAGCCGAGGTTATTCACAGAGGAGCGAGAGAGAGAGAGTATCCGTAAGCCAAGCCGAGGTCAGGTACCAGGTGGGGATCAGAGCGGACGTAGTCAGATGGGATAGCCGAGGTCATTCACAGAGGAGCGAGAGAGAGAGTATCCGTAAGCCAAGCCGAGGTCAGGTACCAGGTGGGAATCAGAGCGGACGTAGTCAGATGGGATAGCCAAGGTCATTCACAGAGGAGCGAGAGAGAGAGTATCCGTAAGCCAAGCCGAGGTCAGGTACCAGGTGGGAATCAGAGCGGACGTAGTCAGATGGGATAGCCGAGGTCATTCACAGAGGAGAGAGAGAGTATCCGTAAACCAAGCCGAGGTCAGGTACCAGGTGGGAATCAGAGCGGACGTAGTCAGATGGGATAGCCAAGGTCATTCACAGAGGAGCGAGAGAGAGAGTATCCGTAAGCCAAGCCGAGGTCAGGTACCAGGTGGGAATCAGAGCGGACGTAGTCAGATGGGATAGCCAAGGTCATTCACAGAGGAGTGAGAGAGAGAGTATCCGTAAACCAAGCCGAGGTCAGGTACCAGGTGGGAATCAGAGCGGACATAGTCAGATGGGATAGCCAAGGTCATTCACAGAGGAGAGAGAGAGTATCCGTAAACCAAGCCGAGGTCAGGTACCAGGTGGGAATCAGAGCGGACGTAGTCAGATGGGATAGCCGAGGTCATTCACAGAGAGAGAGAGAGAGTATCCGTAAGCCAAGCCGAGGTCAGGTACCAGGTGGGGATCAGAGCGGACGTAGTCAGATGGGATAGCCAAGGTCATTCACAGAGGAGAGAGAGAGAGAGTATCCGTAAACCAAGCCGAGGTCAGGTACCAGGTGGGGATCAGAGCGGACGTAGTCAGATGGGATAGCCAAGGTCATTCACAGAGGAGAGAGAGAGAGTATCCGTAAGCCAAGCCGAGGTCAGATCAGGGTTAAGCGGAGTAGACAGGTCCAGGAGCAAGTCGAGTTGGTAACAGGAAATCACAGGTCAGAATCACAGGAACCAGGAACAGGGCACGGGGAGCTAGAGATCATCCAGCAACTTGAGGAAGAAATGAGCCTCCTTATAAAGGCCGTCTGGCACCAAACTGAGACTGATGCGTGCTTCTGCAGCCATGCAGAGTACTGGCAAAAATGCCAGATCTTCCAGAACCTCTGCCATGGACACGACCCTGACACACCGTGTGCAACTTTAAGGCGTCCCCAAGCCTGTAGTTTAACCCCTCGGCCACCAGAGGATTCCCCCCCTTTCTGACCAGGCCATTTTTTGTGTTACTTTAATTGACAATTGTGCGGTCATGCAACGCTGCACCCAATTAAATTTACGTCCTTTTTTCCCACAAATTGAGCTTTCTGTCGGTGGTATTTCATGGTCTGTGCATTTTTATTTTTTGCGCTATACAAAAAGACGGACAATTTTGAGAAAAAAAATCTATTTTTGACTTTTTGCTATTAAATATGTCCATTAAAATTTTTTTAAAAATCTAATTTAGTCATAAATTTAGACCAAAATGTATTCTGCTCCGTGTCTTTTTTAAAGCAAAAAATCCCGATACGTGTAAATTAATTGTTTTGCGTGAATGTTATAGCGTTTACAAATGGCAGTATATACATAGGATTGTTTTTTTTTTTTTTACTAGTAATGGTGGCGATCAGCAACTTTATAGCGGGACTGCGGGCGGTGGGCATTCTGACACTGGGGGGGGGGGGGTAACTGTCTTGGTGTCCCTGACATCCCCAGTGACATGAATACGGTGATCAGTCCTAAATAAAAAGCACCGACACTGTACTAATGGCACTGGGCAGGAAGGGGTTAACATCTGGGGCGATCAAAGGGTTAACTGTGTGCTGGGAGTGTTTTACTACGGGGCATTGTGTTGGTGCTTCACTGTAAGCACACTGCTCTGGATGGCTGTGCTGTGCAGTGTGCCTGAGCCAACAGGGAGGACGGTTAGTAAACAAAGTAGTCTGCATAGGAAATCCTGGTAATCACTTGGCACCAGCGGGTAATCACCAGCCGAAACCTGGTGACTGCCAGCCGCAGTCGCAAATAACGGCACAGGTAGGCTGTGCACGCATTTTCAGATCATTCATCCCTACTGATCACACTACAGATACATACATTGTGAGGTCATTCATCCCTACTGATCACCCTACAGATACATACATTGTCAGGTCATTCATCCCTACTGATCACCCTACAGATACATACATTGTCAGGTCATTCATCCCTACTGATCACCCTACAGATACATACATTGTCAGGTCATTCATCCCTACTGATCACCCTACAGATATGTACATTGTCGGGTCATTCATCCCTACTGATCACCTTACAGATACATACATTGTCGGGTCATTCATCCCTACTGATCCTCCTACAGATACGTACATTGTCAGGTCATTCGTCCCTACTGATCACCCTACAGATACATACATTTTGTGCTAAAAGAAAATAAACAGTCTCTTCCCCATTGTCCCATTCTTCTGATCTCTTTACAGCTCTGTGTAATAAGCCATATTTGACAATGGTGAAGATGGATCCAGAGAAGACATTCTATGATATTGGGGATACAGTGACAGTAAATTGTCCGGCTGGATATCACCCTTCCTACCTCTCTGTACAATGTGTGAGGAGTAGAACCTACATTGGGTGGGATTATCATCCAGAATGTATAGGTGAGTAGTAGTAAACCTCAATATACAGACTACAGGAACCCAGACCAACCAATCAGCAGCCACCTCTCTTTGGTGTGACTCATCTAAACTGATGTAACATAAAACCTGATTGGTGCATTGCCCTCTACACCTCATTCCTGTCTGTACGGCCTTATTACATACATAGTCCTGTATATTAGATACACTTTGTATAGTGAACATGGGAATACTGGATGCTGTCCAACTCAATCTCCATCTATCATTGTAATCAGAACCGATATCAGCGAACCCCATGGGGGGGGCGATGTGATTATACATCACACTTAATGCTGATATCATCTACAATCTTCCCATGGAGACTTCCCTGACTTCTCTTCAAAGTGTCAATAACTGCTTGATGGAATAATACACGTTGCTGCTAAATCCACCGAAAAAAGCTTATCTACATTGAATTGAATACAATGAGTAAAATGAAATGAATCAGATTGGGGCGCTTCTGCTGTATGTAAGCCAAGATAATTGTACAAAAAAATCTATTTTTGACTATTTACTATTAAACATGTCCATTAAAAAATGTATTCTGCTCCATGTCTTTGTTAAAGAAAAAAATCCCGATACGTGTAAATTAATTGTTTTACGTGAATGTTATAGCGTTTACAAATGGCAGTATAGATACTGGAATTTTTTATTTTTTTTACTAGTAATGGCGGCGATCTACGACTTATAGCGGGACTGCGGCGGGCATTCTGGCACTGGGGGGGACTGTCTTGGTGTCGCTGACATCCCCAGTGACACCAATACAGTGATCAGTGCTAAAAAAAAAGCACTGACACTGTACTAATGGCACTGGGCAGGAAGGGGTTAACATGAGGGATGATCAAAGGGTTAACTGTGTGCTGGGAGTGTGTTACTAGGGGGCGTTGTGTTGGTGCTTCACTGTAAGCACACTGCTTTGGATGGCTGTGCTTAGCCAACAGGGAGGAGGGCTGTTAGTAAACAAAGCAGTCTTCCTCCGCATCAAAGATGCTCGATAATTACTTGGCGGGGCCTGGTGACTGACAGCCGAGGCCACAAATAATGGCGCGGGTAGGCCGCGCGTGCATTATACTGATCACCCTACAGACACATACATTGTGTCAGGGCTCTGTCCTCAGCAGAGGTGTTAGCAGACCTGGCACTCCTGCCAGTACCTTGCATTGCCCCAGAAGTTCACATCGGCTCAAATTTGGCACCAAACAGCCTTTATAAGGAAGCCCTGCACTACTCTCAGGTGCTGGTTGATCTCTGGCTCCCTAGTACCTTGTTCCTGTGTCCTGTGATCTGTGATTTCCTGATACTGACTCGGTTCGCTCTTGGACCTGTCTGTTCTGTTTAACCCCGACTTGACCCGGCTTGTCTAACGGATCTTCTCTCCTGCTCTCTGTGTATGACCTCGGCTATCCCTTTTGACTACGTCTGCTCCGATCCCTACCTGGCACCCAACCTTGGCTCGAACTGCTTATCCTGTGATCCTCTGTTTTCTGGAAGACCTGCATACCTCGCACAGGTGCCCCTGCCTGCAGACCCCATCTCAGCGCATCAGGCGTGCTCCTGGGTGGACCACCAAACAAGCACTCCCGCAGACGTCCTGTGCTACTCTGGGCCTGACTCCTGCTGTCCTCACCTTCAGGGGAGTCTAGAACTTAGCCGCAAGGGAAGCCTTCTCTCCAGTGGCCTCTGTTACCAGGTAAGTGATAGTATATCAACCAGCCAATATGTTTGAGGCCGAGAGAGGCGCTTCCGTAATAGAGGCCCTATGCCAACAGATGATGATGGCTCTCATGCAAGCAGTTAAAGATCTGCAGGAAGGATACTTCCAGCTGGAAACACGCCTTCATTCACTTACTACTTCCACAACTTCTGCAGACCAGAGTCCGTTGGTAAGTCTGAGCCCTATAGTCACACCAGCCAGTCTGCCTCCTACCGCTATACCTGCTGTGGTATTATCACCTCCAGAGCCCAGGGTCCCCATCCCTGAACGCTTCCTTGGGGACCAACGCAAATTCTGAGCCTTTAAAAACACATGCAAGCTGTATTTTGCATTGCAACCAAGGACCTTCTCACTAGAGGTGGCTAAAGTAGGATTCATCATCTCTTCTGTTTGACGAACCACAATCATAGGCACACAGCTTACTAGAACAAAAGAACTAGGCACTCAACTCTGTGATCACATTTTTTGAAGCCATGGCG